AACTAGAGTAAAAGATAAAAATTTCTTTGCATAAAGATCAAAAGAACTTTAATTATTAGAATCAAGTTTTTTTCACATTTTTCAGGGCATAGTTTGCTTGAAAGGGGGGATCTTTAATTTTCCTTATCTTGCATATTGGCTTTTTTTGGGCTACTTACTATGTTTTTTGATTGAAATAAACTGAAAAGTAAACTAGAAGAGAAACACGCTAATGTGACAATCAAAATCGTAAAAAGAACCTTGTATTTAGCGTACGTATATTGAAACACTCAAACGATTTCGAGGGCAGCTAAAGGTCCCTCCTCATCAGGAAAAAGAAATACCTAGAAAGAAGAAGAATAAAGGGGAAGGAGTCTCAGAAACACGTGGCCCTTATCAGCACTGCGCGTGGTTAGAAACGAATTTTAATCAGAGTTACATTGACCACCTACTTTTACTGAGTCAGGCTATCTGATCAAACATGTAACACAAAGGACAAGAAAAAATTAGCGAAGTTAAAAATAGGGAGTGAGGGGCAACAGCACCTTCACGCTCAGCCAATCATATAACATAGCCAATCACTTCCGATAGTCGGAACCGACGGTACCACTGTGTACCGTAAACCCTTTGCAGTTTGTTTACCACCCCATGCCAAGTCATGCCACCCTGTTAAGCAAAAAATGGCTTCTTTTTACTATTATATATTCTGCGCGCTTTTTTTAAAAGTTTGTTCCTCTGAATCTTGCTTACCAATGAACTTAATTATTTGAGAGAGAGCATTGCAATGGGCAATTAAACGTGGATTTTCTCCCGTGTGATATGATAAAGCCGTTAAAAAAATTTTCAGATTTCCATCAAAAAGAGACATTTCCACTGTTAGAAATAATATTAATGACCTTTGTCGTGATTCCATTTTATCCTTCTATTAGCTATAATAAAATTGCACGGATTCTCCAGAAATTCAATTTTCATGTCAGTTTCTCCCCTATTAATAAAATTCACCCTTCGATTCTAAAAGATTGCGTTTTTGTCTTGAATTCTCGGGGAATTTATATAGTATATCGTGTCAGTGTGTGGTTTTTTTAAGATATATTGGCCAAACAAAAAGAGCGGTTTTGAAGTTTCGTATCAAGGAACATGAATCTTATGTCAGAAAAAAGGCGAAATTAACAAGTCTTCAATCGTGTATCATAGTTGGACAATAATTTAACCATAATTTTGACTTTGGGTCTGCAAAAATTATCTTCTTCTTCCATAGGTGAATTGGATTTTCTTGAGGCTTTTCACATTCACAAAGATTTAGCAGGTTTAGTTAATGATTTGAAGTCCAATCCTGTCCTTCCTAATGCCTTTAAAATTCTACTATCTTAATTCAGTTATTTTTGTCGATAGATGGCGTTACCTCCTCGCGTTTGGTACTACCAGAGGGCATAACATTCCGTTCTGTGGTTGCTTTCCATTATTCGAAGTTCAGATTTTGAGCGTGAAGGTGCAGTTGCCCCTCGCTCCCTATTTTTAACTTCGCTAATTTTTTCCTTGTCCTTTGTGTTACATGTTTGATCAGATAGCCTTGCTCAGTAAAAGTAGGCGGCCAGTGTAACTCTGATTAAAAATCCGGTTATAACCACGTGCAGTGCTGATAAGGACCACGTGTTTCTGAGACTCCTTCCCCTTTATTCTTCTTCTTTCTAGGTATTTCTTTCTCCTGATGAGGAGGGACCTTTAGCTGCCCTCGAAATCGATTGAGTGTTTCAATATACGTATGCTAAATACAAGGTTGTTTTTACGATTTTGATTAAACTGAAAAGTGTTTATTTCCTTTATATAGCATTCATATGACTTTTTTAAAACTGCAATTTATAAAATCAATTTACGCAATAAGACATATTCCCACTAATTTGTGTCAACCTTTTTCTGCTCTTAACTAAATTTATTAATTTTGCACAATTTTATCTATTACTTGAATTAGCAGACTGATCACGGTCTCTAAAGGCAGATCTTGTTTCATTAGGCAGGTATATAAATTACAAATTGATGTGATATTTTATTGCTTTTTTTATCGCATCTTGATAAAAGTTTTACATATATTTTTACTTGCTTGGTTTATTGAAAATATGTATTCTTTGCTGCCCGTATGTGAAAATCTCTAAACTTGGATTAATTTTTTAAATTAGAAATGTTGGAAGATAGAATGTCATCAAGAACAGGAAAAAAAGCTAATGGATAAAGTAATAAGTAATGAATAAAGAGATAAAATATTTATAAATTAAGATAATAATAGTTAAGCAAATAATGAATTAATCCCTTACAAAAATTAAAGTCAAAACATTTTAAAGTTAGTTTTTCTTTCTTTTTGTTTTTTAATTGACAAATGCTTACTTCTTAAGTATTATGAACAGCTGAGATGATCAGTCACTTAACCCTCTTATTACCGAGAACATTGCACAGGGTACACTATTAGGGATGGTCCGACATTACACTCGCAAGATGGCAAAATGACAAATAAATAAGCATTGTATGGGATTTAAACCTTCATCCAGCATTTCAGACTAGCAATCAGCTTCTGCTAACTATTTTACAGTCTAAGGGGACAATAAAAAAAAGGTAAATATTTTATTAGTATTCATCACACAAAGCCATCGCTGCATTTTTATTTTGGCTTCTTATCTGCTTAAAAACATTTTGACCGAATGAATATAACCCATATAAAATTCCTATGATGGATTTACATTTTGACAAAAAAATTTCTTCCTTAATTACTGAAATTTTCTCATATATTTTGCTCTTCCCAAGGAAAGAGAAAAATGTGGCTTTAATATTTTCTGTTAATGTTGCAATTCAGTTGTTCAATGTTGTTTCTCTTATATAAGCTTCAGTGCATTCTGACTAGAATTATGATGTTGTTCAAAAAGTTTAGAAGTTCCAAAAACAGACATGGCTGAATTTAAGGCCTTAAAATTGGAGAGAAATGTTTCATGTTTTCAAATAAATCTTAATAACACATCGAAATGATTAAATTCATAACTTACAACTAACCATGGCAAAAGTTAACTTCTTTCACGTCATAAGCTAATTAGCTAATTTTTTTGCATTATGTAATTTGCATGTCTCATGTTTTTATCTTTAATATTACTGCATATGCTCCTTACATTTCCTCATTTTTAAGTAAATTTTACTTTTTAGAGGATGATCAAAATCTAACCATTGGTTGAATTAAGCCCTTTAAAAATCCCTCAGTTTCATTTTCAGTCATGCTTTAAATTTCTAAAAAAAAAAAAAAAAAAAAAAAAAAAGAGAGAGAGAGACTTCAATATCATTAAAAACTTTGAAAGAAGCTTGGAAATAAGAATAAATATTTTTAAAAAGTCTGCTTTAAATAAACAAATTTAAACAAAACCAAACAACTTTAAACTTAAATGTACAGTACAATGAAGCTGAAAACACGCATTAGCGTTCATTATGAACTCAGCCAAATTTAATGCTAAAAAACAAATACTTCCACCTGATGTGATAAGTGTACCACATGCAGATAGGGAAAATTTTTTGGCTTTCTTTCATGTTGCAGGACAAGAACAGGGAAAAAGTGTTTCCCTTTGACCTTGCAAAATGCACTATGTTGTTAATAATGCTTGTATTCAGACAGCACACAGAAGCAGAAATTCAATATGATACCACATAATTTGTTTTGTTTTAAATTTCTGATTCTAAAGCAAACCCATGATGCAATGCTATATTTAAAGTAATTAATATGGATTTTATTATAAGAGTTAAAAGATAATTCCTTTTTTACAATTTCAAATTTATAGGTATGCCTTAAGATAATGCCAGACAGATTTTTAGATATAATGGGCATGAATATCTATTGTTTCCCCAAGCTAAGATGTAAAATTATCTATTTTCAGAAATATGCATATAATTAAAAACTGAGATCTCATTTTGTGCATTCAAATAAAATGCACTTACCATAATACACTTGTTAATAAAATTTCGACAGTCACAAAATGTCTGTGAACAAAAGTGCCACGATTTTGCTATATCACATGTCTTTCTGAGATTCAAAATTTCGAAAGTAACGATAAAAACTTCCTCCAAAGTTAACTTACTACACGAAAACCACGATCCAAATCTTAAACTCCACTGACAGCCACATACTTTAACAGCAAGTATTTGATTTAAATCCACACAAGAACTATCAGAAATGCCCTTCTTCGTCCGAGTTCTCATAGCAGCTCTGCATTTTGGACTCTGTTTTAAAAGTCCCACAGAAATTCCAAAAATACACTTCGATCCTCACACACCCGTGAACAAAAGACTCGTTAACAACTCCAACATCGTACTTTTAATACTAAATTTACTTTCAACACAACCTAAAACACGCAACTGAAATCTTGCCACCACGTCTATCATTGCCATTCAAAACACACACGACACAAATCAATGAGCAATAGCAAAAGAGTCAAGTTTCAACGTCAAAATGGTTTTCATACAAACAACATCATCCCCAAAACAATCACACCAAAAACCAGCGCAGAACATATATCGCCACATTTGGTGATCTTAGGCCGAATATAAGAGTAGAGACCTTTTTGCTAAACAATATTCCCACCTATTCGATACTAATAAAAAACTCCATTAATATCTACTATCCCTCATTAATAATCCTTACTGCTTAAATCATATTAACTTTCACTTATACACCTTTTTTGTTGCTTAATCAATGGAAGAAAGCGAACTTTCAACAAATTATTCTATGGTGATAACTGAAATATTTTCATGAATAAAACACCAATAAATAATGACAATTTTAAAAATACAATGCTACTAAGAAATGAAAGAAAACACACTGACTGGCCATACCTTACATCTTTGTTGATATTTTTTTTTTTTTTTTTTTTTTAAGATTCTTGCATTTACATTCCAAACTGTCCTAAATTCAGTGTTACAATAAATTCGTTAGCCAAACTATTACTGATCATCTGATATTAAACCACATAACCAAAATAAACTTCTTAAATACTCACCACCTGGATGAGTAGCACCAAATGAATGATCAATCTGTTCCAGTGTGGGTGGTACTTCAGGAGAACAAAATACATTGCCACTATAAGTAAAATTCAGAAAAATTAGGATACTATTTTCTCTTTCACACATACAGTATTTTAACTGTTTTAGAATGGAAAATTTGAATGCAATGAGAATTTTGTGAGCCTACAGGACAGTTGATATACTTCTTTAATACTAATGCCTCATTTGGGGAAGAGACATGAATACCTTCTGTTACTGTTTTAGGAATAATTAATTAATTTTATTATTATATGACAAGCATTTAGAAAAGCTAAATTTCCAAGATAGAATTAAATAAAATCGATACAGAAGCAACAAAATGCCACATCTAGACAGGTTAATAATTAAATAAAAATTCCTAATCTTCTTTTGTTTTTCTTAACACCTGTTTACTAAAATGTATTAATTCTATTTATGTAGTAACATTTATTTTTATACAGCAACATTTAAAATTTTTACACATTACTACTTTCTACTTCCTAGGTAGAGAAGAAACTTAAAATACACACATTGTTATTCAGTAAAATTAAAACCAGTAAGGATGTAAGTTACAAGACAGATAGATATTTATGAGAATGATGACATGATACAAAGCACAAAAGGATTAAAATGACAAATCAGTTTGTCAAAAGGAATTAGCTAAATTCAATACTTTGGTGCACCAATTTTTTGTTGCTACAATGGATTACACATCATATGGCACTGACTGATAAACATTCTGGATGACTTTTTGGGGAGGGGGGAATATTCCATACAGATCCAAAATGCATTCACAATATGACAATGATAGCTGTCATTGCAAATATATGGGCTAACTTTCAAGATATATTCCACATATGCTTGATGGGGCAGAAACTGGAAGATAATGCAGGCCAAGAAAGAACTGGCCCATGTTGGTCATACAGAAAGCAATGCACATTTTGTGCAATGCTTGTATGAAGCATGTACATTCTGTGCAAGATTCTAAACCAAGATGTACATGCTAGGGTTATTACAACACTCTTTAATGCAGGATTTCAGACATTTTTCTTGGTTTACAGAAACACATCTATATTTTCACTTTTTGTGCCACCTCAGGTTGCTGATGTCTACTGCAGAAGTCAAAGAAAGTTTCAGAAATGAAAACCAAGCAAGTTCACTGATGATAGCATGCAGTAATCATCAGTGAACAGTGCTTAAAAATACTTTCTCATGGGACACTCTCCTCTATTTTGATGACACTATGATGCATCACTGCCTTGTGTATCAAATGTCTGGTCTATCTATTTTAATATAATTCTGGACTGAATAATAATCCTTCTTCCATCCATGATCTTCACATAAAAATAACAATACTTCTGTTTCCTGAACATGTGCAACAATCTGATGGTTTATGAAACTATTCAAGTTCAGCTGATCTTCTGCATTAAGAAGTCTATAGAATAAGACTGAATTCACTTATACAGTCAAAAGTCATTAATCCGGACTTGTCGGGACTTCGGCGATTCCGGATTATCATTTTTCTGGATTATAGATCATCAGTTTAAATCTCGTAAGATGGCATGCAGAAATTCTAAAATTAAAAATATGAAATCGTAATTTATTAAATAAAGAACAATTATGATCTAAAGGGTATCAAAATTTACAAAAAAAAGCTTAATATTTATTTGTTTCTTTATTAAACATTTTCTTTCAATGTAAGTTGTTAAGTTGCTTCGTTTTATGTGATAATACTTTCTCTTTAATTCTATAAACAGACATAATTTCTTGTTCAGTTACAAAGTTCCGCTGTTCAAGTCCTGTTAATTGCTGTGCCGAGAATACCGACTAACTTGTCAATAGAAATTTTTTCATTTTCACTAACCTCTCTGTCACATTCTTCATATCTTTATCCATCTTTTGCAGCAATTCCACTTTTTGTTTGATGGACATCGAAACATACTTTCGTTTTGTACGATCCTTTGGGAGCTCCAGAATCGGAAATTCTATTTGACATAATCGAAACTTCAAGTTTACTTTTATAGTATTGCTCTTACAGTCTGCAAAAAATAATAAGCCTGATCCAATTCGAAGATTAAGGAACAACGCAATCATCAACATTAACTGAAATAGATAATGAGATAATTTTAGCTTATACAGTCCGTTATACATAAAACGCGCAAGCGAAAACGTATTCTGCGCTTGCGCACACACATATGCGCAGTCGTAAAAGGTCTTACGCGCACGCGTAAACGCCTATGCGCATGTGTCAACGCGGCGCATGTGCAGAAAGTTTTTAGCTTTGAGGTCCAGATTATAGGTCTCCAAATTAACGACTTTTGACTGTATTTTGAAACCAAAAGATTTTCTTAATTTACTGCCATCATATGAATGAAGATTATTCTTTCACGCCAAGCAGTACTCATACTCAGTACCAGTAGAGTTCAAATAAGAGATGTCAAATTTTCATTTGATATTGTTTTCTTAGAGAGGTAAATTAATTATGGTACCACTTGAAAACACAAAAATTTGCCAATTACATATGACGTATATATAGTCCTCAAAGTTTACATATATCACTGCACCCATTCGCATCATACCTCTTTTATTATATTTGTTTCAACTTATGGTGTACTATACAAATATGTTTTTTATGTTACTGCACTTGAATATTTTGTAAATAGCAAATATTCATGATTTTGCATACTCATCTCAGCAGCCAATCAGAAGACTTATACTGTTTACTCATGTGACATATCTCTGCCTGTTTCTGATGGATTCCCTGCATATTTCTGCCTTAAAATTTCTTACTTATTTTATGTAAATAGACTTTCTAATTGTGAGAAAAATTTAATTTTGATGCACTGAGTTTGTTTTTATTATAGTTTAGTCGATAGGATTCGAACCTGTGCAGGGGAAACCCCAAAGGATTTAACAAACTTAGAAGTAATGACTAGCAGAAATTTTGATGAAGTGTTGGTCCATAATGAATAGGAAAGTGGAAGCAAAGGCAGATTAAATCTTCATTATTTATTTCAGCAAACATGTTACGGCCACAGGCAAGTTGGCACATTAATTGTGCCTATTCCAAAAAGCTTATATTTTAGATAATTTTGCATTAAGAAAGGATGAACAAACAGACTGTAGTCCAGCTAAGCCAAAGCGTAGAATAGAAAGCAAGTGCGTTATGAAGGTGAAATCTTAATCCAGACTGAGTTAGTTTTGATTCTCAATCCATTTTTAATGGATAGTTAATATTACTGTAAAATTACCATTCGCTGCTTGAGTTTTAGTTCCATTTACATCACCAGAATTATGTAAGAGTCATATGACATGGATTAATCTAGAAATGATACGGTGCAGAGAGAGGTTACTATTTTTAGAATTGAGAAAGGAAATTTACGTTGCTAATTTAATCTTTTACATATTCTTCATTTTTCTTACATATATATATATACAAGTATTTTGTGCTACATACATATTTGTGCTTGAATTTTTAAATATGATGAGCTATTTTATATTTTGAATTCTTTTAATTTTGTAACATAGTATTTGTTTGAAAAACATTTTTTTTTTTTTTAAATCTTGACATAAAAATAACTATCTCCGATCAGTTTAGGTAATCTTTTATCAATACATATGCATTTGTATTTTTACACACAGTTTTTATGCTCATAATGGCATTATTAAAAATTGGGAAATGAAAGCAGTGCTTTACAGTATGTAAAGCTTAGTTACCAGCTCTGCATATTCGAATACAATTAGCAATAATTATTTTTCATTGGTAATTTAATTATCATGAGTTGAAATAGTAAAACAGTTAGAAGAAATGTCGGCTATTTAAATCTAACAAAGTATGTTGCACTGTCGGCCAAAGGAAAGTAGTATGCCTTTATGGAAATAGCTTTTAAGAAAAACTGATTTGAATATATTTTATTTTACCAAGGTAGAAAAGCGCCAAAATATTCAAGATGCAATGTAATTTACATCTGTAACATGAAGTATAAAATAAAACCAACAGTTCGGGATAATCTATCAAATTTTTTACATTATTTAGTTAATTAACTAATTACATTAATTAGTTAATTATGAAATTTCATATTTAAAGTATGACCTAATCTTAAATACATAAAACAATTTGATTTAGGGAATTTTAAAGTGCGTTGAAAAGAAATTTAAATTGTTCTGTAATGTTTGTATCAGGGATGCATTTCTTCCTGTCTGAGATTTCTGAGAGTAATAAAAAATAGTAGAAATAATAATAATAAAGAAATAGTCACAAACAAACGCTACACAGAGTTCTAATGTTTTAGTAATGAAATATCTCTACTTTATTTTTCATTATACTGTTGCAAGATAAAATCGTTAGTCCTCACCAAAATAGAGCCAAACTATTAAGAATAAGGAACAATGTCCAGCCAGCAGCTACCATGAACTACTATGACCATGGACCACCCACAAATCCCTTTGTCAGCTAAAGCAATAAAAGGCAGGAGATTCTTGAATAAAAGGAATGAAAATGCTGGTGCAACAGTTGTACCATAACCAGCTTTAAAGCAAATAATTTTTCTCCTAATCAACAGCTGTACCACTGGTTTAAAGAAGTTAAGAGTCAAAATAATAAATGATTACAGATTGGAAGCATATTACTTTAAAAAATACTTTACATTTTATTTCAGGTGAAGGAAAGGAAACTTACCAATATTTTAATTTTGTTTTGTTCATGCAATATACTTCAATAATCTAAAAAGAAATCAAAGGTGCAAAGTTTTATAATGATGCCAATAAATAATGGAACTCGAATACAAAAATATAAATTAGCAATGCCTGCATATTATTTAGTATAGTCATTTTTTCACTCTTTTAAAAATTAATTTTGGGTAAACTAAAGAATACAAATTACAGTAATTATCACATAGAATAGTTTAATAAGAGATATCTAGAATAAAATCTCTGCAACAGGGAAATTTTAATTTTTTAACCCTTAGAGCCATAAAGCTTTTTATAAACCATAAATAAAATAAAACCTATCATGTTTATGATGTTGTGTATAACTCTGACTCCACTACATATTTTCATAATTTTCGGTTAAAATGAATTTAAATTTTCATTTAAAAAAATTAAATATTTCACAAAGCAAAGTGACAAATTGAAGTCACTGCATGAACAGCAATAAGCATAACCAAATTGCAAGCATACATACATATATATGACACTTAAAAATGTGTTTAGAAACTATCAGACTATTTTCCAACCTTTTTTTTTTTCATTTATTTGAAAATAATACATTAATATTACAATTTTAATTAATAATACTTTGTATGAAGTTTAATAACATTAAGAAACCATACAGTTTTTTTAGCATGAAATGAGAAAAAGTATTTTAAGATCAAATCTCTGAGTATTACTGCATTATACATCCAACCATGACAAGAATTGTTGGGCAAAGTGCTATGCTGCCAAAGTAGACTCAGGCCCGTGCCAAGCCTAATCGGAGCCATCCTGCAAATGTGTAGCGAGTGCCTTTATGCAGCAACAATATTAAAGGGAAGCTGCTTATTGTTAACACTTAAAATAGGTATTATTAACATAATAATATGAGAAACAAAAAAAATTACATTTTATCTTTCAGTTTGGCTAAATGTGCAACCATTTTGTGCTTTGTTAAAACCCACACAAAAACATATTTACTGAAGAATTATATTTATGTTATAAAAAAGTAACACTGCAAGCAAAGTGAAATAATGCACTAAATGCATTGGATACCAAATATATTGCTTAACACTATTTATTATCTTAAAATTAAAAACAAATTAATTTGCATCTCTAATAAGTTCGCACCGAATAAATTGTTGTTAACAGAGTTGTTTACAACAAGGTTCAAACTGTGATTACAACAGGACACAAAAAATGCTCTAGCGCTGATATCTAGAGATATATCCAAAATTCTTTTCTACACACTGCTATGTTGCTGACCACAATATAGCTTAGGGTTTCAACCGTCGATACTACATTTACTTCAAATGTCTGCAAAAACTGCAGCTTATGCATAAGATCTATACTATTGATATCAGTTATAATGCTTTCTGCAGTTTTTGACGTAAGTTGAGCTGATCTTATGTGATGCCAATGCATATGTAAGGGTGACGCGTTCGACAAATAACTTAATCCTTATTTTGTGTTTACTGTTGTAATCGCAGTAATTTGTGCGACATTTATCTTTAAATTTTTTTTTATGACTGCTTTGCTGTTATTGTTATTCTACATAAAAAAAGGTAAGTGCAGTTACATATTACGTTAAACTTAGATAAGCTTTTCAGAAAAGTGACGATTTGAGCATAATTACTCAATTTTTTTTTTTTAAACATTAACCATTTGCTTATTAAACTCTTTTTTTTCTTTCTTTCTTTTCTTTTTTTTTCTTTTTCTTGAGAAGAAAGGATTGACATACTTACAGATACCACTGAATTTAAACTATACCTATATGAGATGTGAAGTGAAGTAAAAATATACAAGGCATTCTGAAATTTAAAATTGTCATTTTTTGATTTTTAGTTATATGGAAAACGGAAGGCAAATGTTTCATTATTTCATTATGTCTTAAATACATACTTTAAATTTTATTTATTTATTTTAATAAACAAAAGAGTATTCCTCTCTCCTGAATTATTTGGTATTGATCTAATAGTTCATATATTTTCCCAGCGATGGTTTAAGATATACTCAGTTTTTGAGAAGGTAAAATATTTCAAATAGTGACTTTCCGAGTGTTATACAGTCAAAAGTCGTTAATCCGAACTCGTCGGGACTTCGGCGATTCCGGATTATAGATCATCAGTTTAAATCTGGTAAAAATGGCATGCAGAAATTATAAAATTAAAAATATGAAACCGTAATTTACGAAATAAAGAACAATTATGATCTAAAGTGTATCAAAATTTACAAAAAAAAAAAAAAAAGCTTAATATTTATTTGTTTACTTTATTAAACATTTCTTTCAATGTAAGTTGTTTTTAAGTTGCTTCGTTTTTTAATGTGATAATACATTCTCTTTAATTCTATAAACAGACATAATTTCTTGTTCAGTTACAAAGTTCCGCTGTTGATGTCCTATAATTGCTGTGTCACGAATACCGACTAATTTGTCAATCGAATTTTTTTCGTTTTCAATAACCTCTGTTACTTTCTTCGCTATCGGAAGCGAATTATAATGACGAGGTATTTGATTTAAATCATATCAAAGACGAAGTATATCGAAATGAAATTCTACATTTAGTAAGCAATTATAAGCCAAATAAAATAAAAACATCTGCCCTGAAGATAAGGATAGTGCTGACAGATCAACTTCCAATTCATTGCGCCCCGCGGCGTTACAGATAAACAAAGTTTAGATAAACAAAGGATATGCCTTTATCCATTTTTTGCAGCAATTCCACTTTTTGTTTAATGGACTCCAAAACATACTTTCGCTTTGTAGATCCGTTACATATTAGTAAATATAAATCGGAAATTCTATTTGACATAATCAAAAGTTCAAGCTTATTTTTATAAAACTGCTCTAACAGTCTGCAAAAAATAATAAGCCGGATCCAATTCGAAGATTAAGGAACAACGCAATCTGCAACATTAACTGAAATAGATAATTAGATAATTTTAGCTTAGCTTATACCGTCCATAACGCGCATTCGTAAACGTATTTTGTGCCCGCACACACGCAAATTCGCAGCCTTAGAGGTCTTACGCGACGCTTGCGCAGAAAGTTTGTAGCTTTGAGGTCCATATTATAGATCATTCCGGATTATGGGTGTCCGAATTAACGACTTTTGACTGTACGTAATAGTTCTTAAAATAATTATTTTCTACTTTTATTTTTACTTGCACTTTTCTGCCTTCCTTTTCCCCCAGATGACAGAAGAAAAACAGAAAAAACGTTTTGAGTATCAGAATTTAATGAAGAAAAAGAAAGCGAGATGAAGACTTAATAAAGCAGGACTTTAAAATTACTCAGTTTTTCCAAAACCCAAAGAATACCCAAGTTGATGCTACTAGCACTAGTTTTTTATCAACATCTCAGCTACCATTAAAATTACCAAAGGAGCCTAATAATCAAAGTGTTAGAAAGCGTTTTCAACCGGGAATTACCTAAATTAATTCTGCTAAAAATTGCCGAAATTTTTTCAGCACAATTTAGCAACGAATCCCTTTTAGCTCTTTCATTATTTGGCAAGATTCCATAAAAGCACATCTAAAAAAAATTATGTTCATTTTTGTCTTTGGGAAACTGAAGCTGGAAACCAGGTTTTGATAACATCCAGAACCATTTTCTGTTAGGGCTTGAGCTTGGGATAGCAATAATGGACTTTGGCATAATCCGAAATCATCAAGCAAATGCGCATCTATGCAACAATTGTAGATTTCACTAGTTTTTTCACTAGTCACTTCAGTTATTTCGACCAGCTGCATTGAAGTTAAAGGTAATTCCCAGGTGAAAACACTTTCTAACACTTTGATTATTAGGTTCCTTTGGTAATTTCAATGGTAGCCAAGACATTGATGGACAACTAGTGCTAGTAGCATCAGCTTGGGTATTCTTTGGTTTTGGGCAAAACTGAGTAAATTTAAAGTCCTCGTTTATTAAGTCTTCCTCTTGCTTTCTTTTTCTTCATTAAATTCTGATACCCAAACAGTTTTTTTCTGTTTTTCTTCTGACATCTGGGGGTAATGAAGGCAGAAAAGTGGAAGTAAAAATAAAAGTTAAAAATAATTATTTTAAGAACTATTATGTATAACACTTGGAAAGTTTAAAGTATGTATTTAAGACGTAATGAAATAATGAAACATTTTCTTTTGTTTTTCCATATCGCTAAAAATAAAAAAATTGGCAGTTTTTAATTTCAAAATGCCTTGTATATTTTTACTTCCCTTCAAATCTCTAATAGGTATATTTTAAATTCTGGTATCCATAAATATGTCAATCCTTTTTTCTCCAAAAATAATAATTTTTAGTTTAATAAACAAATGGTTAATGTAAAAAAAAATTTGAGTAATTATGCTCAAATCGTCGCTTTTCTGAAAAGCTAGCCTAAGTTTACCATAATATGTAACTGCACTTACCTTTTTTTTTTTTTTTATGTAGAATAACAATAACAACAAGCAGTCATAAAAAAGCACAAAAAATAAATAAATAAATAAATAAATATGCACAAATTTACTTACGACTGCAATAGCAGACACAAAATAAGGATTAAGCAATTTGTCGAATGCATCTTACGGCACCGTTTACCCTTACATATGCATCGGCATCACATATTCTCACGTTCAAATCAGACAGAAAAGAACACCACAGATAAACTCCTGCCCTGGTTATAAGCTTCCTGTCAAATAAGACAGTGTGCTAGGAGGAAGGGGCACTCAGACCTGGCAAGCTTGAGGCTGCCTAGGACAGTTAAATGCCCCAACCCCTAGAAGCGATCTAAGAGGCCGCTGACTAATCGGTCAAGCCAATGAGTTAAGACTAAGCTGAGTCAACAGGAATACTCAGCAACTCACATTCCATGCCCCCTCCTGAAGGAAAGGTAAAAACATCTGCCATCAACAGGGGCCCCAATCCCGGACAGCAGATCAAAGTCACTCTGTGCATGATGGCGGTGACTACTGGACAGACCGGGCCACCAATCTGGCCAGCTAACATTACATCATGGTATATAGATGTCAGCTTTAGGCGCACCCAGGGGAAAACCAAGGGAGGATATCAATATACAGTTTTGAGGTTCCAGGCGCCCACTGGAAACCTCAAGCAGTTTAAAGGCTCACTGAATTTGCCAACTCCACTGGTGTGGATGTTTTGTCCCGGAGAACCATGAATATCTGACTATATAGCTATACCACAACCAATGGAACGGACAAGACAGTACCATATGGTCCCTGTCGAACCTGAGCCAGCCATCACCAGAGATGATTTTAGTCCCGTAAAGACCGATTTTAAACACCCATGGCTGAGACTGCCTAGGTACAGATACTAATCAGTAGCTTCCCAGGTTTTACCTGAGTCGAACCCTGGAGGGAGCATTCAAATAAAACAAGAATTTTCCTGTTCAGACAAGCAGCAAGACAGACTGCTTGTTTTAATGACTGCCCGGAGCCTTTTTAACTCACCGCCATCATGCACCATACGACCCTGCACCTATTGTTGGCATGGGCCTGAATAGAATACCCAGAATTTTATGAAAAAAGTATTTTATCTGGCAACCTACGAAATGCATGTGATTTGGGAATTCTAGAGTTGTTTGTGATTTCTGTGTGTTATTAATGTGTGGTTTTTATTCCTTGTAACAAATCACAATGAAACTGTGGAGTTTGTCAGCTAATGAAAAATAAAATGTTACATTTTTCACAAATATGCCATTTTGCCTAGTAATAGTAGAATGAAGAAATGCACATCCCATGAAGTTTTATTTTACAAATGAATGAATAGTCCAAGTTATCTAGAGAAATTCACTAGGAAAAAATGTCTGGTATCTGGAAGGAAAGCAAAAATACAGTTTCGAAGAAATTTTAAAGTAGATAGCTAAACAATATCTACTGGCTGTTAAAATGTAAATACTGTCTAGATTGAGTTTCATAATTATTGTTAAAGTAATGAAGTGCTTATGAAATGATGCATTTGGCTAACTTTTATTTATCTTCTATGTTACAGTAATATAGAAATCTCACAGCTTAAATGTATTTTGCTATCTCTTCTTAGGTGCAACGTTCACTCTAATTTTTGACTACTGATCTTCAGCTTTATATTGATCTTTGCAATTTTTTTTAACTATAAGAACTGTTTGCATAGCTTTTATTTTTTATTCTTTTATATTTAAATTTATATTAATAACATTCATTATTTCAAAAACATATGTAAAAACTTGATTTTAATTACAAAAATTAATGCATTAATATATATGTAAACATAACAAAATTATATACTAAAATACAACTCTAATACAGTACAAAGTCTTTAATCCGGACTCGTCGGACTTTGGCTATTCTGGATTAGGGTTTTTCTGGATTATAGATCATCAATTTAAGTCTGGTAAGATGGCATGCAGAAATTATAAAATTAAAAATATGAAACCGCAATTTATGAAATAAAGAGCAATTATGATCTAAAGGGTATCACAATTTACAAACAAACAAACAAAAAAAAAAAAAAAAAAAAAAAAAAAAAAGCTCAATATTTATTTTATTAACCATTTCTTTCAATATAAAATATAAGTTGTTTAAGTTGCTTCATTTTATGTACTAATACTTTCTCTTTAATTCTATAAACAGACATAATTTCTTGGTCAGTTACAAAGTTCCGCTGTTCAAGTCCTTAATTGCTGTGCCGAGAGTACCAACTAACTTGTCAAGCGAAATTTTTTCGTTTTCACTAACCTCTCTGTCACTTTCTTCATGCCTTTATCCATTTTTTGCAGCAATTCCACTTTTTGTTTGATGGACACCGAAACACGCTTTCGCTTTGTAGATCCTTTGGCAGCTCCAGAATCGGAAACTCTTTTTGACATAATCGAAAGTTCAAGCTTACTTTTTATAAAATTGCTCTAACAGTCTGCAAAAAATAATAAGCTGGCTCCAATTAGAAGATTAAGGAACAACACAATTTGCAACATTAACTGAAATAGATAATTAGATCATTTTAGCCTAGCTTATACCGTCCGTTATACATTAAACGCGCATGCGTAATCGTATTATGTGCAGAAATTTTGTAGCTTTGAGGTCCAGATTATAGATCATTCCGGATTAACCACTTGCGCTATGACTAAACTTCATGGTTGTGGTGCCGTGCGCTACAATATAACAAGCGGTAAAGTGCCTCATTTACGCTACTCCGCATCTGCGAGTGCAATCTAGAGCTGTAACTCGAGAAATAAACAATCTCGTTATTAGGCGACGTGTGCACCACGTTATTTTCATTTTTGCAATAAATGCCTATCGACGTGGTGTTCACGTCGCTCGCGGTTTGAGACAAAAGCATCTTGACGTGCATTGCACGTCTTTTTAGTGCAAGTGGTTAAAGACTTTGTACTGTAGTAATAATGTTCAGATTTATATCAGTCAATAAATGCTACATTTATACAATTATATATTAAATATTTTCTCTTCTGTTTCTAAAATTTAACTATATATGCTTTCCAAATTTATACTGTTTCCACGATGTACATACAATTTTTTTACATTAACATCTCTAAGTGATCTTCTTTCAAATGATTTGTTTATTTTTTATTAAATTCATTGAATTATGTTCACAGTCAACACTAGATGCCAAAATGTTCCACCAATATCCATAAATTTTAAAGTTAAAAAAAAAAATGTTCATTCTGTAATGTCCGTTATTTTTTTTATCAGTTTTGCACTTAATTTTTCTACACATGATAAATTTAAAGTTATTACACTCTTGTAGCAATGCTGTTTTACCTGTTAATATGTTAATGTATTTTACACATAATTTGTTGACTTCTTCTGTGCCATGAATGAAAACACATGCACTTGATGCTGTCAAATCAAATATTACTCATTCCTGTACTTCATTTTAAAGAAATATTTCTTCTAGATGAGAGCAAATTAAATTTATAAAAGACAACAAAAAATCTGCATCTATTTCAATATTTTTTCTCAATCTTTACGAGGAAGAATTTTGACTGTATTACTCCACATCACTATATTCAATTTCTTATTCTTTAAATTTATTTTAGCAAAGTGAAATGCATCAATTAATGTTAGATCGCACCGCTGAAAATTTTTACATAATACTGGAAGTTCTTCAAAAACATTCATTCATAGGATGTAAATTTGAATGCAATTCAGTACTTTCTAGTTTTTGTAAACATTAATATTTTGAAACAAGATTATATCTTCAATTAATATTTTGAAGAAGGAATATTTTATTAAATCTTCATAATTTTTATTGCCTCCTATGCAAACTATTTCACCTAACTTCATTTTATAGTTTAAAGGTAATAGCTTTATTTTCTAAAGCAGTGTGTAAGAAAATGTTCATTTTAATTGTTAGTAACATATTATCAATTCACATTTTCATTTTTTAAAGAATGGATTTTCCTTTTGAAGTTCACTCAGGATCTTATTTAACAAATATTTAATTCTGTTGGCAGTAGAAAGGGAAATTTTCTTCTTAATTTTTTATGCTGTCTACACCAGATTCACTATTTAAATACTGTTTTAAAAAATATATTTTTTAATCATCTGTCTACATTTCATCACTAACAAAATCATTATTTCCATGTTCACATGACAATAAATAAAATAACTTCATTTTCTTTGTTGTATAAAAACATTTTCCATAATGGAATTCACAGTTTATTTTTAGTGTTTGGTGTCTTTGTTCCAACTATTTCATTAAGTTACACTATTTTAAAATCCCTTGCTGCTTTTATTCTTTTCACAAAATTTTTCATGGTTTATATATAAATGCATGGACATACAGTACAATGCAAAAAACACATTATTAGCTACTTTTGCTAACAATGCAGCATGTGCTAAATTCTCTTTAACAATGTGCATTTTACTTAGCACATTAAGAGACAGAGCAAGCACAACAGCACCATTTCCTACAGCTGTATGCTGCAATATAACAAACAAATTTAATATGATTTATTTAAAACTGTAATTATTACAATTACTGATTTATTATTACTATTATTTTGATTAGCAGCATGTTTGTGTGTGTGTTTCTTAATTTTCTTTGTGTGCTAAATTTTTAAAAGTGTGCCCAAGTACAGCTTAGATGAAATTCTAAAATTTTTTAGGTGATATTGACAAATAGTTTTTTCTGAATAAATGCGATTCTCTCTTTTTTTTTTTTTAAGTTAAATCAGGTCAATGTGTACAAGGAAAGCCATGCCAATTTGCTCTGCATTGGTGAGAATTCTGCAATTCTGATGTTTTATTAAGTTAAAATGAATTGCTGCACACACAAACAGAAGACCAAGAAAATATAAAGTTATGTGTTTTATTACAAGGATTTACTGCATTTTATATTTAATTATTTTGTTACTGTTTCATGAAATTTTGAGTGCTTCATTATGGAGTTTGCTTTACATGATTTTTACTGTTTTATTACATGTGTTTTTTACTTTTTTAATTTTGCTAGTTCATTGCTATTTTCAACATAGCACCATTTTTTTAAAAAAGACTACTGTTTTTTGTTAAAATAACAAAAAATTATGTTGCCAACAACTGGTGACTTTGCGGTACGGATGGGTGGATTATGTGATAGTACCAATCTCTGAAATCTGAATTTTTTTTTTAATATTTCATGCATTAACTCTCTTATATCATAATATTGCTCTTTTAAAAATATCATAGAAGTAATCAAAATTATTTTTAAAAATGCACAAATTAAACTTGTACTATTCTAGTTTAAAAAAAAAAAAAGAAAAGAAAAGAAAAGAAAAAGAAAAATTCAGATCCATTAGTTTAATTCAGGTTTTTGCATAGTAAATGTAAAATAATAAAGTATAATCTGACAATGAAATTCTAACAATATTTAAACTATAAATAGCAGTCCCATATACCTTTAGCCTCTGAGACAATGGATCGAATATAAGTCGAATACCATCTTGAGACAGATTTATAATCAAATCCATTACTAATGGGTTCTGAAAAATGCAATAAATATAATTATACACATGCAGTTAAAATTTAAAAAATTAAAAAACAAAAGTTAAAAAAAAAAATGTTTACTATACCAATTCACTGTAAAGTACTTGGACATTTTTGACTGACTGAAACTGTTGCTGTAAAATATGAACAACCTGGCTGAATGCCATCCCTAGAAAAAATGAAACTGAGTTAATTCTACTTAATTTAAAATGACTAACAGTATTTGAAAGAATATGTACTTCCCCTACAGATAAACAGTCAAAATTATATTTGCAGTTTTGAAGCAGCCTTATAATAGACATAATATAAATATATTGTTATTACTATTATTTTCATTAGTACTTTGGTAATTGCCCTAAAAATTCAATTGTTTTTTCAGTTGAAACTTTTTTCAGAACATAGTAAGAGCATGGTGAAAAGATATTTATTCATCAAAATAACCACCATATTTCCAAAAAATTTTGTCACCAAGGGTGTAGGGTTAAAGCACATTTCACCCCTGTGGAAGTCCAATACCAATCCCCACATATACCATTTTTAAATGTACAGTAATTTCCACTCCAGTTATTTTTCAGGAGACTCATTCTTACAACCAGCTGTGCTCTTGCTTTTATAGGCATTTAAAAATGTACTTGACAGAAAAGTGTAATTTATTTTAGAAGTGCAACAATATTTTTATTTCGAATAAAGTAATGCTGAATTGTCTTATAGTCTATATTTTTTTATCTTACACTTTAAAGCAAATTTTCCTTAAAAATTCAAAAGACAACACTTTTAATATGTCTAATGCTAAAGTATAGTATATAAATATGTAACACAAAACAGAAATAAAACAAGCCACTAACCATCATTATACTTTTTACGTGGATAATATGCCCTCTAATTCTCTACTAGAATAAGATTCTATATTACAGCAAAATATTAGTTTATTCATCTTAACTACATTTCAATTTTTTATGGTACACAATTCCTGCCTTGTTCTGTTAAATATATTTAAATACATGGCTATATAGAATAACAGATGTTCTTCAGCTGCCATGAACCAGAAACCTCACTATTACCTCACATTTTCTAAAAATACTTTTCTACTACTTTCAGTTTTAGCATAGTCTTCCTGCTCGCAATATTATAAAATAGTAAGAACAAGTAATATAATATAACAAAACATTATAATTATTATTTTAATTATATTATGAATTATTTTAACTACATTACAGAGGCAACAGGGAAACATTTCCAACTGGACAAAAAAAAAAAAAAAAAAAAAAAAAAAAAAAAAAAAAAAAACTAATTGACATGAGCAACACTTCTTCCACCCTTTTTATAATTAAATTTATTTTTTATATCACATTACTTTGTTCGTATGATTTTACGGGCAGATAAAGGAAAAGTACCAGTCTTACTTTATTAAAGTTCAACTGCAACATGAAGCATCTGCAGCTTCTTATGTTTGCATCAGCATTCATTTCAGTTACTCATACCATTATAAAACATATTTGCTATGCACCATATACTTAAATATGAAAGTTTTTAAAAAAATGAAGCTTATGATTAGTGTAGTTATAGTATTAATGACAGACAGTCTAAGAAGAGCCTGGGCAGAGAAAATGGACTCACTAGACGGAATTAATACTGAAATTTACCTTCTACAAGTGGTGAGGAGCATGGGGGTCAAGCAAGCTTTTGTAAATGTGGTCTCTTATTTGTAAGCCAATTACCTCCTTTAGTCCAAGGGGGGGGGAATACATGTCTTATAGTGGGTCATATTTGTTTTTGGATACTTGTATTTTTCAGTTTCCTTTGAAAATATCACTCGCTAAATACCAGCAAAATGACTTTTAATTTCACGTATACTATTGTTCATCCTTTTTACAATCTGCTTGCTTTCAAAAAAATTATTCAGAATGTTTTTGATTAAAAAAAAATAGTTTATTCATAAAGTTCTGAAAATAAACTCTCTCAATGTCTGTATTCAGACACTTTGAACAAATAATTTATACTGAATAAAAACATGAAAATAATAGTACATGCAATATTTTGTTGGATACCTTTTACTTAAAATTACACTTTTAATGTGCTCTAACATGGATTCAGTTAAGGTTAATCTTTGGATTATGGTAACTTGGCGAAAATTTTGCGACCAACCCTGCTACAGCAACTGGCTAGTTTTGTTTTGGACGCCATTTTGTTTTCACGAAGTAAAGGCATTTTTTTTTTTTTTTACTCAACATTTCCCCCCGAATAATCTGCTAGCCGAATTACACTTATGCTAGAACTTTTATGGAACAAAAGTGCTTAATCATGATGAAGATTACGCGCGAAATTGGGCGAAGGTGCAGAATCGACCACTGCTTGCCGCGTTTTTAAGAATTGCACATACACAGTATCCATGTACACGTCGACCTACTTTCACTTAAAAAAAATCCCAGAGTTGTACAAAAATGGCATCGCGCACACTCTTAACTTGATCCATGTACACTGCTAAAGTCCTAACTCGTAACTTTTATCGCCTTTACCAAAATGTCGCCAAACTACCTGTTACCATATTCCAAAGATTAGCCTCAGTTAATTTTTCATCAAAATGTTCCATTTCCAATCATTCCTCCATACTTCTAATAGAGCTGTCTAAGTCATGTTTCCTTATTCTTTTTGGTACTTGGACCGCGAAAGATGGCTACCATCGAACCATAAAGGCTGGTAAATATCCTATCAAAGTAGTTCCAATTCAGCTGACTATTAATCCACAATTTTTTTGATGGTACGATTTCATAACTTTGAAATTAATCCTTGCTTCTTATTCTGCAGAAGACTATTCTGCAGAAGACTGGTGCCAGATTTTAATAATGTTTTTCAAAATAGAAGGAAAAAACACAGCAACAACAGTTAATTTATAAAAACAAAACATGGCTTATCGAAAATCAGAGTAGGGAGAAGGGTACCCCTTGTATTATCACGAAGTTGTTGTTTCATTTATGGTAGCCTGAGTAGTTGAATATTATGGAAACCCTATTATGATGTAATCAGTTGCATAATTGCAGTAAATTCCTAAGGGCTTGCGGTATGTGTGTGTGTGTGTGTTAGTTAGGAAGTATATTGCTTGTTTTGCAATTTAGATGGTAAAATGGCCGAATGTGGTAAGATTAATTTGAAGTTTCTGTATGATTTGGAAAGAAAGGGGAAAAGAGCATTACTTGACCAGTGTGTAAATGAAAGTTTACTTAGTAGCCATTATTAGGTGTCCTGTTTGTAGGAAGGAAATGCATATGGTCAAACGGCGTTACGGAGGATATTTTTGACTTTTATTTTGTGAATTTATGTGCTGATGCCAGTGTACACATTCTAGTTCAGATAATTCTAAGAAGTTTTTGGATGCTATTAAGGAAATTTGTTTGACTGAAGACGTGTTAATTCGTAAATAAGGTAAGTGGCTATTTCCCTTGTGTAGTGCAAAGAAGAATTTCCTTTTTTATGTTATTTCATTGTTTGATTTCAAATGTAGTTTATTGAGATTATATATTTTTTGTTGGCTGCTCCTTTGACTTTTAAAGTGAATATAAATATAGTTCGATGTGTATATGGACAAAGTCAAGGGAGTGCACAAAGCCTAGTTTGTGCAATTCTCTGACTTTTTTTAAGTGAAATAGGTCGATGTGTACATGAGATACCCAAAAATCGGCACTACACAAAGCCAAAATAACAAGGCAAAGAATTGCACAAACTCAGTATCCATGTACCGCCAAGGGGTACCCATAAATATACTTTTACCCCAAAATCAATTGGAATTATACCAAACAAAAGCGCAGATTTTACAAATGTTGTTATGTCCAACTAATCCATAACTGACAATGAATCCCACTGTTTGGCGACAGTTTTGTAGCTGACAGGATAATATGTAAATAACTTTTCCCCCCCACAACTGATTCAATACCTATTCAGTATGATTTAAATCCATAGAATAGGGAAGAGTTTTGATAACTTTGGGATAGTTGTATAATAACCATGAACAAACAATTAGGGCTGTATGTTTAGGATCATTAATTTAACAGAACTTGAATTATTTTGCATTCAAGTTTTCTTGAAGGTGCTTTCTAAGAATATATACATAATTATGCTGATCCATGTTATTCTCTATAAAAGCTAAATTTCTCATCCCAGAGGAGCGATATATCCCTAACTTATTATGCTTCCATCCTTGTGCTTAACAATAGGCAAAACAATTTTCAGATTTAAATCTCAGCTTTACATGCTTGCACCAATGATTTTTTGGGTATTTTGAGCACTTTTCTAATCTTAAGCTGTGATGGTGATTTGTTAAATTTCTGTCATTAATTTATCGTTAATTTTTAGCACCTTGCCATGCTCACTTCAGATATGGAAATGTTAATACATTTTGTTAAACAAGTAATAATTTGAAAATGCAGACTAATTCTTGAGATGTACTTTCATTTAAAATAGTTTTGGTTTGGTTAATTATGGCAAAGCCTCGAGGGCTATCTGCCTAAGAAGATGGATGCCTTCATGGAGGACTTACTAAGGCAAAGTGGCTCGTAAACACATTACACACGGGGAAAACTATGAAAAAGCCCATGCAGTCAGCCAATTTGCGGGATTTGAACCTTGGACCAAACTACCAGTGTTCAGCGACCTTACCGCTCGGCCGCTGGTGGGCCCTTTAATTTAAAATAAAAAATATAACAAGAAACATCACAACAAAATTTTCAAGTGGCCAAATCATCAAGTTACTGATTACCACTTTGTGAACAAATTTTTTTATTCCAAGAAATACATTGGATGATTTTTGACTTATTTATTTTAAACAGGCGATTTTTAAAATAAAGAGAAAATGTAATATTAGAAAATAAGGAACTACTCTTATATGCATTCTCAAGTCACCAAATTTCTCCACGGTGCCATATTACAATCTAAATTTTTTGTCTATATTTCGAACTTTAAGCCTACAATGTCTCCAAAAACCACGTTTTGAACATACAATTTAAGCTAAAAATCAGAAACAAAAACAAAAAATTTGGATAGCAAAAACAAAGTTTCTAGCCAAAAATACTTGACAAGAATCCATGTACACAGCGATACCTTTTAACTTAAAAAAAAATAAAAATCTACAAATTGCACAATCTAGACAGCAAAAGAATCTACAAACTACACACACCTGGCTTTAATAAATTAACATAACAACAATAAATTTCAAAGAATACCATGTACACAGCATTTTGTTTCAACTTTAAAAAACATCTACGAATTGCACAATCAAGGAAACGAAAGAATCTACGAAATACACACACCTGGCTTTAATAAATTAACATAACAACAATAAATTTCAAAGAATACCATGTATACAGCGTTCTGTTTCAACTTTAAAAAACATCTACGAATTGCACAATCTAGGCACTAATCAAGAAAATAAACTAATAAATTTCATACAGTTCAAAAAAACAACAATGACAGAAATCCATACTAAAATAACAATGAACATAACATTCTACAAAATAAGAACAAGAATAAAATAAAATGCACTTACCATGAATGAATACCTTTTTCGAACAGCAGAAATACTAATTTCATGCCACCACGTAATCACTATCGTATTTATATGACAGCCAGACACACTATCCAGAAAATTCATACTATGGTTCACAAATAAATGTTCAAAACCTTCTTTTCCTTGTAAGATTTCCAGCCATCCGAAAAAAATAGTTGTACAAGGCTCAATCCACTCTTTAATACATTTCCTTACTTCTATCATCAGCGTTTCCTCCGTTCTATCATGCACAACCACTAAAAATAATCTTCCAGACCCTCTTGCAACCACATCTCTCATTGCAACATATGCCATTTTAAAACATGCACGACACGAACCAACGAGCAATTAAAATATTCCAGCAAAAGAGTTGCCATACAACAAGCAATCGTGCCAAAAAGCAGTGCAGAACACATATCACCACATTTGGTGATCTTAGGGCGCATATAAGTGTAGAGCCGAAAATAATTCACTGTTTGAATATTTAGCACAAGATCTGTGTAAAAAAATTCTAAAAATATAAGTTTGAGCCATTGTATGTGACACAATCATACTTTGTCTCACATTAATCTTTCTCTTCTTGAGAATAAGGATATCATATGGTTTCATTTAAGTTTGGACAAAAATGTAATTGATAATCTAAAATTTTAAAAGCATTGAAAAATGCCAACTGCTTTCAATATATTTATTGTTGGGTGCCAAATTGTTCTACAAGGAGGTGATGTATGAAATTCCATTAATTAGCTCAGCAATAAAACATGGCTACAAAATCTTTCACCATACAACAAATCTAAGATTTAGAGTTTTATATATTGTTTTTCATAAGATCCAATGCAAAATCTTTGTTAAAATTTTCATAAATCATCACTGCTTTCTAATAAAGAATGTGGATGTTTGCAATTAATTTCTATTGCATCATTCTTTAAATGAAAAAGGTATGTATAGAGTTTACCTATTTAATATTAAACAGCAATGAAATTTTTAAAATATATTGTAATGATTATTAGAACATTACATTATTAGAACTTTTTTGGGTTCAAAACCAGTTTTAAACCCAAAAAAGCTCAAATAGTCCACAACACATAAATACATTTTTACTTAATTACAAATGAAATTTCTCATTATTCTTAAAACTTTAAGGTAGTTTAAAATCATGCAACAATTGACAATTAATTATTGGACCATTAAATTCTGAATATAATTAGAAAAAATACACTTAAAAATAAATAATTATTTTTTCCCGATCTTACATAAAATAAAGATTCTAATAGCCAAAAATTTTAATTACATTTGAGAAGAAAATAATCTTTTAAAGTTATATGATATGCTACATAAATGTAGTTAAATCGTTCCCCAGAATAAAGAACTTTTATAAATGTCGTTCTCTACTTCCCAAACAACGATACTTAAGGGCGGAAAAATTATCTTTGCGTGCTTGTAAAATAAATAGCTTTAAAAATCATCGATTTTACATATTTGTATGCTCAAAAAGGTGAAGTGAATTAAGGTAATATTTGCCCCCACATTCAGTAAAACACAACAGGCAACATAAACATTGACAAATGTGACTTCTAAACTTTTCCTAACTTTATAAATTGCTTCAAATAAAAAAATAAAATTAAAAAAAAAATATTAGGAACGCAATATTTATTACTAAGAACTAACTTATATAAAGCAACAAAACAATGTCTTATTTAATGCTACACCTGCATTGTTTGCTACAGCTGATAACACTGTCCAGGTGACAATACAATGTCAGCTGTGCGCAGCGAAATGTTTTTTCAAAACAAAGTCTTACCCAAAACCAGCTCCCACTGTTCATTCCCTAGGGAACGTTCAGGTACAACTTCCAGCTCCAGCATTTTTCACTAACGTAAACTAGCCTTCTTATTGAGTAGTATCATCTGTTCATGATTTCATGGTCTTGGAATAAAAGTTAGTTATATTTATGTACCTCAGATGAACAACTTCATTACACAACCATTACATAGGCAGCCATCTTACATGAGTACTATGCAACATCCAATCACAGGCGCAATATTTTCGAAGCATGCGCAAAGCTTATCCTGTTCTGTAGAACAACACACGCGGTTCTGTTGGTAAACATTACAGCTAATCCTCAGGTCCATGTTTACGCGGTAGATATGTTTATCACTAAAATGGCAGATTAGAAATGCAAAATTATACTGGTGGTATTAAAATTCTCATTATGCTACTCTAAAACTTCAAAAACCAAAATTTATGATTCTTGCATTGCTTTGATACAGGTAAATTACTGTTATTCGTAAATCTATATTATTGTATCAAAAAAAAAAAAAAAAAAAAAAAAAAAAAAAAAAAAAAAGATCCTAATATTTGAAGATTAGAAATGCACTGGAAGTTAAAAATTAGGGTACTCTTCTGTTTTGAGGGCCGTAAAAAAATTGCAGCGAAAATGTATGCGGAAAAGCGCCAAATCTAGCAAACGCGCCCATTTCACAGCACGCCAAATCTAGCGTACGCGCTGGTTTCAGATTGCGTAAGTTTATATAGTTCTATATTTCTTAAGACTCAATTGAAATACTAGTTTAACTTTTAAATGCCTTTTTGATTGTAAATCCTTTTTTGATCTCCTATGGATTTAACAATTTGGGAATTGCTATGATGAAAAGTCGGCAATAGAATTTTGGGTAAAGTGTAGAATCACTCACTTTTAGACGCGTTTTTAAGAATTGCACATACCGGGTATCCATGTGCACATCGACCTATTTTCACTTAAAAAAAAAATCCCAGAATTGCACAAAAATGGCACTGCGCACCCCCTTGACTTCATCTATGTACACATCGACCTATTCTCATTTAAAAAGTACAATAAATTGACAAAAGTCCAATTGTTGACTTATTGTTATTATACTTATTGACAAAATCCAATTGTTATTATACTTACTTGTTTGCCCCTTTTTACAAGGGCAAACAAGTAAGTGAGCGATTCTGCACTTCTGAATTCCAATTCTGAATATTTCAAAGAAAAGGCATCATTCATTATAGAAAATTACGTTTGAACAGCCAAACGAGATGAAATAATGCTTTAGCGATAAGTCGGTAGCGAAATAGCGATGCAGGCATACATTCCGTTATGTTTAGCAATTTTTATATAAATTACAATTGTCATGTATCTGGCTGCGGTGAGCCAATCAGCTGCCTGCCAAAGTCCAGCAAGTGAGAGAAAAATGAGTTGCATGTTAGCCTCAGAGGAGGAAGGTGGTAGATTTCGCTATGTTGTAGGAGCGAAATACTGCTCCGAGTTTACTATTATTCTTTGAACGTTAATTTTAATAAATGTTTGTTTCTTTTTTTCTAATGGTACTGTATTAAACCGTGAAGCCATTACAGCACGCTCTCTTTCGGGAACCAGAGCGAACGAAGGTGACTGAATTTTGAGAAAAGGCGAGAAATTTTTGTTGTAATTTTAAGGAAAATCTTCTAAATATTTTTAAAGGAGTAGTTAAAAGTGATTTGATTTCCGTGTTGAAGGAACTCGGTGAAGAAGCCAATTCTAGTTTAAAAGGCGTAGAATTAAAAGATAAGCTTTTAAGTTCTAAAGAATATTTGAAAGATAAAGATTTTGTTATTGAATTCCTTAATACTACGGTTGAAGAAAGGAAAAAGTCAGAAGAAATTGCGAAACTGCATTTAATACAAATCAATAATAACAACGAATCTAGTAACAATGTAGAAAATACACTTTCATTAGATAAGCTTTTGAAAGTTGTGCGGGCATTATCGCTTTCCGTACCTAAAAAGGGTGAAGCATGGAACTTATTTTTTGATTCAATAGAAAGGGCTTTTAAGCATAAGAACGTACCAAATGAGTTTAAGTCTGAAATTTTACTTAAACTGATGGGTGATAAATCTAATATTCTAGTATATATTAAAGATGATGATTTGAAAGATTATGAAAAAATTAAATCTTTAATCCTTAAGGAATATGAATCCATTCGCCAATTATATGTTTAGAAAATTTTTCGCCAAGCTAAAAGGTTGATGGGGGAAACTCATTTGCAGTTCGTTCGCCTCTCGTTTAAGATCAGGTTGGATGCATAATTGTAAAAGTAGAAAGCATAAATGATTTTGAGTCTTGAATTAACTTAATCATTTCTGACAAACTTTTTCAAACATTGGAAAAGTGATTTACCGTGCCATGTTGCAGTTCGACAAGGTGAAAGTTGGCTACGTCCAGAAGAATCTAGTGAAGGAATGCGACACTTACTTCATAGCAAAAGGTAAACCTTTTGATGACATAAGAGGTGAAAAGCGCAATAATTTTCATGATTCATGCAACAAAACCTCTAAATATATTCCACCAGCGCTAAGAAAAGATTCAGTGGTAAATGAACAGAAACATTCGTTTAAACCGCGAGAAGTTATGTGTGTAGTAGCAGTTTACATTTGGCTAAGGATTGCCCGAAACAGGCGACTGCGAGAATGTTATATGTGTAGTAGCAGTTTAATTTGCTAAGAGCCCGTCAGGCGAAATAAAATTGAAGGTCCAATAGAACAGAATGATAATTTCCCTGGTCAAACCGAAAGTTAACACTTCAAGATAAACCGAAGGACAATGCGATTGTTGTTACAAATGTAAATTCTAAACATTTACAAAAACGCGAGTGTTCCGACGGAAAACTTGAATTTTTATTCCTTGGAAAAGATTACTATTTACATTGCAGGGAAGCAAGTAGAAGCTATAAAAGATTCAGGTACGGAAATACCAATAATTTTGAACACTACCATTAATTCCTGATTTAAAAATAGAAAGTAAAGGGTAAAATCATGAAATTAAGTTCTGCATTTGGCGACGTCATAGAGGCAACGTTAGCAACTATTTCCCATTTATTACAAAAAAAACCAAATAGTTGTCTATATTCGCGCGTAGAAGCTCTTTACGCGTTGACAGATAAGCTCAATGTTCAATGTTTAATTACACCAGATGTATGGGATCGCATATTTGAAGACGAGAATGAATCAACAGTTTTCCCAGAGACAAAACCGGAAACTCAAACAAAACCAACCTAAGGTTGGCGCCGTTGAACTGTCAAATGTTGAACAGTTGCGAATCAGGATGATGAAAGACTAAACAGTTATTCGGAATCGAATAAATTTAAGGTCGATCAGAGAAACTGCCAAACATTAATAAATTCTTTTAAGGACGCAGAATTAGGAAAGAATAATTTCTTTTTACAGGACGAATTATTATTTCATAAAGAAAAAATATGTGGGGAAAACATACAACAGTTAGTTTTGCCCTAGAATTATCGAAATAAAGTCCTTCAATTAGCTCATGATTCCATATTCGGAAATCATTTAGGTACGAGGAAAACTAAAGAAAGAATTAAGCTTTAATTTTATTGGCCGAACATATCCAAAGATATAGAAAATTATTGTAGAACATGCGAAAGATGTCAATTAAAAAGTCAGGAAAGACAATCGGATAAAATTCCGATTACTCCCATTGTTCGCGCGCCATATCCCTTTCATACAGTAAATATAGATATTATTGGTGAAATTTCACCGTCTTCAAGAAGGAAACATAAATATTGTTTGTGTTTGATAGATAATTCATTCAAAATGGCCAGAAGTCATACCTTTAAAAAGTCTTTCCGCTAAAGCTACTTGTGATGCTCTTTTAGATATTTTTATGAGAACCGGCATTCCAGAAATAAATTAATAATAAAAAAAAAAAAAATTCCAGAAATAGTGATCAAGGCACTAATTTTACCTCACAATTAACTCAAGAATTCGAAAAAAAGTTAGGAACTCATCCTTGTTTTTCGACCCTTGGTTACCCAGCATCAAACGGCTCAGTGGAAAAATGGAATCGGGTATTTAAACAAATGTTACATCATGTAATTCGCACAGATCCTGTTAATTGGGACAAGCACATACTTTATTTACTTTTTGCGTATCGTGAAGTTCCGAATTGCACTACAGGTGTATCTCCATTTATGCTTATGTACAGTCGTGAAGCTAGAGGTCCCTTAGCTGTGTTAAAATCATCATGGTGAAATACCATTACCTCTTAATCTGAGTAATTCAGCAGTTGATTATCTACAAGAATTAAAGATAAATTTAGAGAAAGCATCTGACCTCGCTTCTTTATCTACCGCGGAAAAACAAGAAGCTTACGCATATTATTTTAACCGTCGCAAAAGTATGAAAGAATTTAAAAATGGTGATCTGGTATATTTACTTATACCAGACTCTAGCAACAAGTTATATGCCAGGTGGACAGGTCCAGGTGAAATTGTTGAAAGAGTAAATCCTCATTCTTATAAAGTTAAATTACCCAATGAGAGTGTGCGGCATGTTCATGTAAACAAAATAAGAAAATTTTATGTTCGAGTACAAACTGTGGGAGTAATATTTGAAGATGATTCTGAGTTTGGGGAAATTTATTCAACTCCAAATAAAGTGGATTGCGCTGCAACTAGAAGGGACATCGAAGTGGATATTAGTCATTTAGAGGGTAGCAAACAAAAGGAATTACACAAGCTTTTACTCAAGCACATCCCGTTATTTTCTGGTGAAATCTAAATAGCCAGCGTTGGTGAACATAGAATTCGGTTGTTACCTGGAGCTGAAAGAAAAAAACCATATATCTATAAGATTCCAGAATTTTCGAAACCTGGAGTAGATAAACAGATTGAGGAATTAGAGAGCTTGGGTCTTATTGAGCCAAGTGATGCTGAAATAGCATACCCACTTGTATGTGTTCCCAAGAAAGACGGAAGTATGCGTTTATGTATTGATTTCAGATTGTTGAATCAAGTAACCAAGCCTGTTGATTTCCCAATGGAGAATATGACTGATCTAATCAATAACATTGGACACGCGAATATTATCACCTGTTTAGATGTTTTGAAAGGTTACTGGGAAATACCTTTAGAAGAAGAAAGTCGTGATTTAACATCATTCAAGACACATCGTTCCCAATACCGTTGGAAGGTGATGCCTTTTGGATTAAAGAATGCAGCTTCTCCTTTT